TTCTTTATACCATACCTATAATTTCCTCGTTTTTTTTCTTTCGTATAGGCGTTGCGCGGAAAGCATGTCCAGCAGGGACAAATGGTCGGCGCCTTGCGCAGTTGGGCTTGATTCCAGTGCCGCCTCTTCTTGTGGCGTCGGCGAAGGGACCGCCTTCGCCGGCGGCCGCCTACGCTACATGCCCATCAACTACTCCAGCGAGTCTGGCTGGTGGGCGGGTGCTTGTCAGTACTCATCCATCACAACACCAGCACCGGACATGAGTCGCCAACAGCAGCAGCAGCAGCATCATCATCATCAGGGACGCCACCAAGAGCAGCAAATAGGCGGCGGGAAATCGGGCACTCATAGACCGGTTTTGGCTGAACATGTGGCGGACCATGCGGCGACCCTCGTGGCGCCCGATGGCTCAGCCACTCCTGGCCTAAAGCAGGAGTTCAAGGCGTGTTGTCGGGGCCTGGCCAAGGCCACGAGCAGCAAGAAAAATAAAGGTTGGCACACGTTTTTGCATTTTTTGCGCGTCATTATATTTAATATTTACACGCGTACATATTCACGGAACTCCGATTTTTAGCTGGAATTTCGAAACTCTGGAGGCCGTGAAAAAAATTTGAACGTTTGCATGAAGGATACAAGGACAAGTGACAATAACACACGCAAATTTCGGCAACGAAGTTTTCTTTTCTTTTTTCTAAGTGGAGAATATGGGAACTTTGTGAGGCACCACTGATTTGGAACCCTCTCCGAAATTATTCATTTACTGTTATGAATAACTTTCGAACCCAATGTAGAACATGATTTTGATTGCTTGCATTATTTCGAGCGACGAATTAAAGGTAAATCAGCTGAAAATCAAATGCTGAATTTTGAACATTGGTGGCATCTGGATTTTTCTGCATCAAAAAGCGTCTTACGAATATAATTCCCAACTTTAAATCATTAACATTGTGATTTCTGCCAAACTTGAATAATGTTGAAAACCATGCTGCACCATATGAAAATCAGGCGTCATTTTTGTTCTGACCATCGGTTGATCTGCAGAAGCATTTTCAGATTTCTGCTAATATTGTTTTTTTATGAAATTTTGAAATACTACTAGCTGTGCCATTTGCTTACGTTTCGCCTTCAGTCTGACCTCCGTCAAAATTACAGCAGTACTGCAAAAAAGACTAACCCGAAGGAATCAAGCGATTACAAATTTAATGCGTAACATTTTTATTCAATTTATTTTATCAATGAGTTGATCTGAGCGCGCAGTTGAAATATTAATCAAAACGATGTCGGCAGAAATGTTGGGCTGACGTTTTAGCAACCAACTGCCGTTTTCTGAAACCCATTTATACCGTTTATAAATTTTGAAAACTGCGATCCAAGATGATGGACCATAATTTTCCTGGCATTGGTTCCCCTAGGAATTACGACTTTCACGAGGAAGCTGATATCATCAACCTTTTTTTTTTAAATAACGTGAAAATGGAATTTTCTGGATACGGAAACGTTTATTTTAATTTTGAAATCAATCAAACGGCGAAGTGAAACGGGTATTTGTTTAAAAAGGTTTCCTTTGAGAGGTTCTTGATTACCGATGAGGCGCAGAATTCTATTCCATTGGGTTTCCGACAGATAATTTCTTTCTTTTTTTCTAAAACGAGGTTTTCGTGATTGGCTGACATTTTTGTCATCACTTGTGGATCTTGTTCTTTAAAGACTATTTCACTGATGAGGAATCTGAAAATGTTGACAAAAGTAACGATTCGTAATTTCATTACGAACAGTTCTCGAATTGCATTAGGAAACTTGCCCTCGTGTGACCTTTCTCTTCTTGAGCCAAAGAAGACTCTCGTTAGACTTGTGTGAGAAGAAGAGGAAGAAAAGTTTCTTTCATTCCTCGGATCGATGAAACTGCGGAGCGGAAAAATTACGAGAAACCGGATACACTTTCCGATGGATGTTTATTTCGGATGCGGCGGAATGATCTTCCGGTTGGGGTTTT